TGCCTGTTCCTGTTTTAGCTGAGAGCAGCCTTGGCATGTCCGTTCCCTGTCCCTGGCCGTCCTGCTGCTGTTGTGTTTACCTGGCACCATGACTGGAGCTCACTTCAATCATTCAGGGACGGCAGGAAAGATAAAGGGCGCTGTTGCATGAATGAATCACAGCAATATTTTCCTCTGAGACTGAGCCGTTTAGCTTTAACTCTGCGGACCCTAGAGTAGTGTTAAATGGCTGATATATGCCTCCTGCCACACAACAGTATGAACCTGCATGTAGAGAAGAGCTCGCTGCATTGTCCAGGCTTAATAAACTAGGAGTAAGTCAATGTGTATTCTGTAAATATGCAGAAAAGCTTTTCCTAAAGAGTAGTGAAAACGGGACTGTGTTTAAGGTTAACATTTAAAGTTAAACTTCCCCTTTTGAGGTTGCACTGTGCGCTACAAAGAGAAGGGTGTTAACATCGCACATTAGACATCGGTGCTCGAGAGCAGACTTCAGGGGAGGCCTGGAGCCTGGTGCGTGTGCTGTTGCCCGTGCCAGACCTGTGTGAGGGAAATGACAGCTGGCGAAGCTCAGCCTCCGGTCCTGGTGATAACTGTCAGTATCGGCTTGTTCTCTGTTCACGGCAGCTCCCCTTCCTTCCCCTCCCTCTCTGCAGAAATGGAAGCAGCTGTCCAGGTTGCAGCGCAGTCTCCTTCTCTTCCTGTTCGCCCTGCTGGTGGTCTGTGGCATCACAACGTACCCGAACCTGGCTGAGCACTGGAGAGGTGGGGAGCGCGCACGAGTCCCAATACAAGAGGAAGCTGCCCAGTGTTGCCTTGTTAGAGAGCGAGTCAGCAGGGGGGACCTTGCAGAAATCAAGTTCAAGATCGTGCACCAGTGCTTCAGATAAGGAGCCCACCTTTACTCCAGGCTGATAAACACCTGTTTATGCCCTTTAACATCCGTAGTAGTTTTTTTTTTTGCGTCATGCACAAACCCGTCCAACCCTGGTTACTTCAGCAGCTGCACAGGAAGTATTTTGTTTTGTTTGCAGCTGCCAGGACCTTGTACTGGAGCCCGCAGAACTGTCCGATAGGATAAAAATTGCACAATAAACAAAGTGCATTTTAAATCTGACTTTGTGTTTAGCTCAGTCTTCAGTGCTTCCTTCACGTCGGTGTTATTTTGCCATTTCCTTGCAGTGAACTGTCTGAGGTATAAGCATCTCATCCTGCAGTAACGCATAATGCTTTGCAGTATTTTAAAATATTTATGCAGTTTCATGTCGAGACCATCAAAGGGGAACTACAGCGCTATTTTTATATTTCGGGCTTATAAAGAATGAGCATTGATGAGGGCATTTCAAACCACAATAACAGTAAAATGTACGCAGTAACTTGTAAAACCTCCAATTTACATCACAATATAGGCATTTCCAGGTATGCGTAGGCAAGAAAACTTCTCATAACGTGTGTGGCCCTGTGACAAGTATAAATTAGCGAGGCTGTGAGTGCACCTCTCTTAATCCAGCAGAAATATTGCTCTCGACCTCAAGACAGTTTTGCCAGCAATCACTACATACTACTTACCTCAGCCTGCAGAACACATTGGAAACTTTGTGGTGAAATGCCTGCTGTACCACATGTACTCATTCGCTCGTCCATCTTATGACCTCAGTCATCACAGTGACGAGTGAGCAGGAGGATCTACATCAGGGCACAGTTCTCATGGATTCTCACTTGTCATGGACATAACAACTGCAGTTATTCCAGAAGCACAGGCAGCTCAGCGCTATTGCACTGCCAGGAGAAAAGCACCAGTAGTCCGTCCTGACGGTGTGTCCTGTGTCTGTCCAGCCCTGACGGACAGGTCTATGAAGGAAGACGGGATCGCCGGAGGCCTCCATGACCCGAAGCCTGTTGTCCCAGGCGTCGTTCCCGAGTTGGAGAGGAAGATCCCGCTGGTCTTACCGGAGCCCCCTCCCTTGGTCAGTACTGGTCCCCCTGTACCCCACCTCCTGCTGGACCCGAACCCCCTCGCTATGCAGAGTCAGGGCCCGCCTGTCAGTATTAGGAGGGAGATCCGCACCTGGTGCTGACAGTCAGATATTTTTCCCCTTGTTGGTTTCTTTGTCCTTTTCATCTCTTCCCTGCGCTCTGGTCCCCGCAGAAGCCCAGGAAGCCCTTCTCCAACAGGCGGGGGCCTCCCGCGCTACAGCACCGGGACCAGAAGAGGGGCAACGTGTCGGAATTGGAGGTGGAGGCGAGGGCGAGGGAGAGGGAGAGGCCGGCAGAGAAGGGCCGGGGAGAGGAGGAGGGAGAGAAATTGGTCAGGTAAGAACACTGGAGTGACCCGGCCAATACTGGACCTTCATTTCCACACACACACACACACACACACACACACACACCATTTCGGCTTCTTTATTGTGTTTTGAGGGGGGGGTGATGCTGCACGGTTTCCAGCTGATGACGGGTTCCGTGTGAAGGAACCCCGCAGGTTCCCTGCTCTTCCTGGGAGTCTAAGTGTTTTACAGTGGGATCTTGAGGACTGGCTCTGCTGTGTAAGTCATCTGTAGAGCGTCTGCGTGAAGCCCGTGAACTAGCCAGGACCTTATGTTGGATGCCGACAGCCACTGTGTCCCCCACAGGCTAGGGCTGTGGATCCCGGCTCTAAGGCATGAGAGCAGTTGAGAGCCAGCGCATGGCTGATGGGGAAATGAACAGCACGGGTAGGATCGCAGTCTTGTACAGGCGGAGACAAGAGCAACCGAGACTTTTTTTTTTTTAGAAGACTAACTAAGGAGAGGTCACGACTCAGGAGGCTAGTGTCCAAAGTGCAGACCCTGTGCTTCTCTCTCCACAGCTGGCACGGCACGATCATAGAAGCCGATCGGGCCTCGGAGCCACCCCCCTCCGCCCAGGAGGACGAGGCCGCGGCCCCGGTCGCGGGGGGTGGAGGAGCCGCCCCGCTGGGACCAGGTGGGCACTCTAGTCTCCCTTCCGGTGTCCCTCCGCCGCGGCACCTGGGCACAGCCGGCACCCTCCCGGCATCAACCTGCAGCACAGCCGTGCAGAGGAGTGCACCGGAAGAGCAGGGGGGCCGAGTCCGTTAGGGACCGGTTCAGTCTAGGTTGTTCACCGTAGTCCGTACGGGAGCCTGTAGCAAGGTGAAGGAATAAAAAAACAAAAACAAAACGGCAGTCTACAGCCTGGGGCAGCTGTGAAACGCGGAGGCGCAGTGCACCGCGAGGTGGTTGCTGTGCTGTGTCGGACGGCGGACCCATGGCGGCGCTGTCGGTTTGTGTGTTGCAGTGGCGGTGAGCGAGCGGCAGCGGGCCGTGGTGGAGGCCTTCCGGCACGCCTGGAAGGGCTACAAGGAGTTTGCCTGGGGCCACGACGAGCTGAAGCCCGTCTCCAAGTCCTACAGCGAGTGGTTCGGGCTGGGCCTGACGCTCATCGACGCCCTGGACACCATGTGGGTCCTGGGGCTGAAGGAAGGTAGGGAGGCAGAGCACCTCCATCCCAGAGCCGCCCGCTCCGACAGCAGATAAAGCACTACGCCCGTTCAAGGGCAAATGCTTGGCCGCAGCCAGCGCAATAAGGGTGCGGTTATTTATTCTCTAAATGGTTTCGATATTCTGTTCAGAGTGGTGTGGAGGTGTGGTTCCAGCTTCCTTTTCTTCATCTTTCTTTCCTGCCAGAATTTGAAGAAGCCAGGAAGTGGGTGGCTACTGAGCTGTCGTTCGCCAGGAACGTGGACGTGAATCTGTTTGAGAGCACGATCCGCATCATGGGGAGCCTGCTGAGCACCTACCACCTGACGCAGGACAGTCTGTTCCTGGACAAAGCGGTAGGGTGGTTGAATCGAGGGCCTCCCTCTGTCCCCGTCTCCTGTCCTCCCCTCCCTCCCGTCTTTTCAGTTTTAATGTCCCGTGCTGAACATTTCTCGCGTCAAAGAAACACGTCTTTACCTTCATCCTCTTGTAAGCTAGGTCATTTTTATTTAAGGATGTTAATCCTGTAATATGATAAGCCAGCCATTCCTGTTCTCTCACTTCTTTTCTTCTTTGGCCCCTTAGAAGGACATAGGAGCCCGACTGATGCCGGCATTCAACACCCCGTCCAAAATCCCGTACTCCGATGTGAACATCGGGCGCGGCACCGCCCACCCTCCGCGCTGGACCTCGGACAGCACCGTCGCCGAGGTGACCAGCATCCAGCTGGAGTTCAGGGAGCTGTCTCGCCTCACGCAGGACAGCAGGTACCAGGTGAGCCGCAGAGAGCTGATGTCCTCCCTGGGGAGACGGCTGTAGGTTCCTTTAGTAAGAGCCTTGGCTGACTCGGTCTGATCCCCTTGAAAACGCACGCTGTAGATCAGTCTAACCCAGTGAGACGGGACAAGCTGATGGCTCGTTCTGGCCCGCAGAAAGCAGTGGATGACGTCATGAAGCACGTGCACAAGCTGGAGGGCAAACAGGACGGCCTGGTGCCCATGTTCATCAACACCAACAACGGGCAGTTCACCCACCTGGGCGTGTTCACGCTGGGCGCCCGGGCCGACAGCTACTACGAGTACCTGCTGAAGCAGTGGATCCAGGGAGGGAAGACGGAGACTGAGTGAGGCTCTTTCTTTCCTGTTCTATCGCAGAGCGCAGGCGGTCACTAGGGAGGCCGGGACTCTCAAAAGGAGCTCCCCCGAGAGGGCTGAAAGGGCTGGTTATCCGTTGAAATGTTCGTGTTTCACTGGGGAAAAACACAGAGGACAGTATCAAGTACTTCTGCTCTTGTTGAAAAGAATTATGGGGCTCGATCTGTGCACATTTTCAGTTGTTATTGTCACATACCCACCAAATTCGGAACCTCCCATCTTGATTTTCAAGTCTCTGCTCAAACCCCCTTTATTCTTCTCATTAAAAAATGGACAGGACCGGAGTGCTCTACACTCCACTAGGTGGCAGTGTTGCCTTATAAGAGTGTGACATGGATGCATTGCCTCTGGAAAAATATGGCCTAACAGGAAAACGATAGTCACAGATTGTTAATGGTAGATGACAAATTTTAAAACTGGTGTTATCTGGAATATCCAAGTATGATTTTCCTATTTCCTTTTTTGCTCTGTCTTATTACTGCAAGGCCAAGCTGTCCAACTGCTGTTTTGGGTGAAGCTTCTGTCCAAAGAGACCGACGTTTGCATTCGCTTATACAGCTGTATGTGTCACTGCAGGAGCAATTCAGGTTAAGCACCTTGCTGTTTAGGGTTCAACAGCAGTGGGTTTGAACCCACAGCCTTCCAGTTCTGGGTCCAGAACTCTGACCACAGCTCTGCCTTAGAAACCAGGAGTGCTGTGTTCTTGGAAGATTTGACACTCCTCCCCAGCACACCAGCTCGAACTTGAGCGATGCTTGTAGAAAACCCCCCATTCCCCAAACCTCCCAGTTGCAAGTCCAGGGTCCTCAGTGCCGCCGCCCTGCAAATATCCCACAGGCCCTGGGAAACATTCCAAGGCCTCCCTCGAAGGGATTGAGGTGACACTGCGTGGAAGCGTCTTCTGTCCCACACCCCTTTTGGAATGTTTTCTTGCTCGCAGTCGAGTTTATAGTTCACTACTGCTTCGTTCGACTAGAACACCACCCGGTCGGTGTGTGTATCGTTCTCCCCTGGCCTCAAACAAACTCCTGTCCCGTTCTGGAAACCGGAAGGGTGTGGGTTTTGTGCCCGGGATTCCTGTAGTTTGACTCGGCTGGATGAGCTCGGGTTAATGCACAGTTTGTAAGCGGGGGGGGGTGGAGTGTTCGGGTGGGGGGTGAATACTTGCGGCCGGGAGTTACAGGACGTTTTCCCTCCCTGTTCGCCTGCTGCCCAGGCTGCTGGAGGACTACGTCCAGGCGATCGAGGGGGTGAAGAAGAACCTCCTCCGCAAGTCGGAGCCCCGGAAGCTGACCTTCGTGGGGGAGATGTCGCACAGCCACTTCAGCCCCAAGATGGTGAGACCCCGCCCCGCCCCGCCCCGCCCCGCGGATGAATTAATGCAGCGGACTGCTGAACTGCTCTGTCTGCTTGCTGGGCCGGCCGATACGGCCGTGGCTCTGTGCGCGTTCCCTGTGAACGGGCTGCTCTTTCGTTCACTGCGACGGCGCGCTTGTCGTCGTTACTTACCGACAGCCTAGCAACCGGTAACCCAGCAGGTCTGACGACGCTGCCGGCCGCGAGATGCCTATCAGCCTCTTCTTGAAGTGGGAACAGATAAAGTGTACAGCACGTTCTGTCCTTTTGTGCTGAAGCCAAGAAAAGTAGGATCTGATGAGGCACTGTTGTCCACCAGTAGCTCTCTTTGTTATCTTGCTGGGAGCAGTGCTGATGAGTGGTCTGGAGAAGTCTAGCGTGTGCTGGGACTGCTTGGCGATTAGTGTTGCTGGGACAACGCTCTAACAGGTCATCTGTGTTGAGCGGGCTCCTACAGAGAACAGGGTGTCTGTTATCACTCAGTATATTTGAGACCTTACCTTAATTGCACATTAGCTGCTGGCTTGCAGGCAGTTAGGTTGCTACTCACTGACCTTGATAGCTTTGCCGTAAATAATGTCTTCACAGAAGCATCTGCGCTAATAAGACTCTGATAACACTATTTATTAACGTTTGCTTTCAAAAGGCCTAAAGGTACAAGGTACTATTTGGCTGTGAACTCCAATAACTGCAGGTTATGTTCCTGACACATCCACTGCATCAAAAGGAGGACAGACAAGCCTCCTCAGTGCGACAGTCATTCAAGACGGTATCGTCTGGGTCTTGTCAGAATCCAGAATCCAGAGTGCAGAGGCCTGATTCCCTTGCCTTTGGCACCACAGTGAGGCAGCTACGCATATGTAATGTTAAACGTAAATAATGTTTACGAGGCCTGATCAGTGCCACCCAACCTGATATGGTGGAGTTTACAGCAGGGTAAATACAGCTGGCTCCTCCGCTCCTGGTCAGGTGTGTAAATGCACCTTGTCGCTCTCACCTCTGTGACCACACTGAGGAGCAAAAAGAGCCGCTTTCCCATTTTTCGAACCTTTCTCCCGTTTTCCCGCGGGCTCCAGGACCACCTGGTGTGTTTCCTTCCGGGCACCCTGGCGCTGGGAGCCCACAATGGGGTGGCGGAGGACCACATGGAGCTGGCCGAGCAGCTGATGGAGACCTGCTACCAGATGTACGCGCAGGTGGAGACCGGCCTGAGCCCCGAGATTGTCCACTTCAACCTCGTGCCCCGCAGCGGCAAGGACGTGGAGATCAAGGTGGGCGACGCGGGTCCGAGCCTGACTGACCGCGATGAGGGAGGGGTGGGATTGGTCAAGGTCGATTAGCCAGCGACGCGGCGAGCCCTGGGACTTCCGAGCGCTTTCACGAGGCGGCACAGCCTGCGGCGGAGCTGCGTGGGTTCGAGGGGTCGGGGCCCGCACTTCCTGGTTCTCCTCCAGTGCGGCAGCAGCGTGTGTGGCTGTCCCAGAGAGGGTGGGTTTATGCCGGAAAAAGGCAATGGGTGATTCCAAGTTTATTAAAAAAGAAACCGGAAAGGATCGTGTTTAAGCAGGTTGGGAACGGCTGACAGGCTTAGGGAAACCCTTCGCATAAACTTCTGCTGTAATTAATCCCACAAAGCTAATCATTAATGGAAAACGTGTGAATTCATTTTATTTTAGTAACGGGGAGGGGTGTAGCATCAGAGATCTAATGTCCCGAATCTAGGAGTCTTACCGGAACCCTTCTCGATCACATCTGCTTCCCTGAGTTCATCTTGCCAGTGTTGCTAGTGTGGCCTCCTGGAGGGTGTCTGGGGATGCGTGTTATATGTAGAATAGCAACCCAATCTCTAACCATAGCCTCAGCCCTAACCTAAGCTCGTCCCGTTTCCCTTCAAGCCGAGTCCAGCTCTGACCCTGGTCTCCAAGTGTATAAGTGTACCCCTACTGCGTGCTTGTGGGGTAATGCTGCAGTATGCAGGGCAGCGCGTGGCTCTCAAGGTGTGGCAGCCCTAACTCTGCTGATGGAGCCCTGCTGTCGAGCAGTGAGGCTGAGACCTGCTCCCTGTCTCCCCGGCAGCCTGCGGACAGACACAACCTGCTGCGCCCCGAGACCGTGGAGAGCCTCTTCTACCTGTACAGGTTCACCCGGGACAGGAAGTACCAGGACTGGGGCTGGGAGATCTTCCAGAACTTCAACAAGTACACCAGGGTGAGCAGGCCTCTGCGCTCCAGCCTCCCCTCTTCCCTCAGCTCGCCGTTTTGTCAAGACCCGAGCGCTGCTGTCTCCCTGATCTGCTCAGCGGACATCCTAATGCAGAACAACGTCAAATATATACAGTTAACTAGTACAAATCTCAGCGAAGCAGCCTCTTAACTTGCTAGTCATAGAAGGTGGTTTAAAAGCCTCTTTCAGATTGTACCTCGCTACCAGCTCTTCAGCTATTGCAATGTTGTGCCTCAAAGGAGTGAAGAGCCAAATCAAGACATGAGGTATTGATCTGTTTTCAAAGGCCGGGGGGGACTTTGCTTCAGGTTGGCGTTGAGATGTTGTGAGTTGGGCCCAGTCCTTGTCTAGCGGTGCCCTGGATCTCTCTTGCAGTGAGAGGAGGGCTCCGGTCTGGTACCCGGTGTTTACTGTCCCTCTGCTCGCTCGCTCTGTCTAGGTGCCAACGGGAGGGTACACCTCCATCAGCAACGTCCGCAACCCCGAGAACCCGGACCCCAGGGACAAGATGGAGAGCTTCTTCCTGGGCGAGACCTTGAAGTACTTCTATCTCCTGTTCTCTGAGGACTTCGACCTGATTAACCTGGACAAGTACGTTTTCAACACTGAGGCTCACCCGCTGCCCATCTGGGTGTCCTCCTGAGAGCCGGGGGCGCGGGGGAGCTTGTGACCTGTACAAACCTCAGGGCTAGGATGAAACAGATGTTTTTTAAGCCATGAAGGTGTCATCCCCAGTCGGTTCTGCAGCACACACGGATTACTGTTCTTTCTTCCAAACAAAAGCGGTGACTCTTTTTTTTTTTTTTAGAAAAACCTGATATTGTAGGATTGAAGGCTTCGAGGCAATTATGTAAAGTTCGTTTTTTCCTAAAGTCTGGCATTGCGAGCGGCGTCCCCGGGGAGATATTTTGTCCTGGTGCCGACTACCTTATTTAAGCCTTTCACAAAATCCGTAAAGAATGAGGCCTGTCTTTCCTGGGGTGAAGACCTGTACTGGTAAAAGAATCTTTCATTATGTCTCAGAAACCTGGTTTTCAGCTGTGCAGAGTGAAGCACGGAGCCAAAATACAGATTGATAGCCAGAAGGTTGTCTACGGCCAATGAATACCTTGTCCCAGTGTGCATGACAATCGTTACCATCTATAAACCGTGTGTCACAGACCTGCTGCCCCTGCCCAGGGACCAGGGCAGACATGAGGCGGGTTCGTGGGCATCCAGCCCTTAAAGACACAGAGCGCAGCTCCAGCAGCAGCCCGGGGCTGGAAGGCCCAGCTCTCTGGCGAGCCCCAATTTTGTTCTTACCCGCCTGGAAAGAGGACGTCTCTCTCTCTCTCGCCCCCACCTCCTCCTGCCTGGGTGTGTGCCCTCATGACGCCCGGGGGAGTGCGATGAGGCTGGACATCTGGGCTCCTGCTTGCAAGCCGGTGCCGGACACGAACGGGACAGCGCGCGGGTCAGGAGGTACCTATGGTTTTGTCCACGGAGGACTTCTAATTAACACTGTGAAACTCTTGTGTTTGGAAATGCCAAGCACATGGTGATGTATTTCCTTTTCCATTTGGTTTCGAGGGGTGTAGCTCAGCTCCAGCTCGGGTTTCTCGTGGAGTGCTGTATATTCTAACAGGATGTAGGGTAGCACATGGGTCTCTAGGCCAGATCTTTCTAATCACTCGTTGGGGACCACACTGCAAATGATAGCTCAAGATTATTTATTGCCATGTGTTCCGTCATGAGGTTTATTTATAGGCACATGTTGAATGTATTTTTTTGTACAAATGATTCTGTGTTTTTTGAATAAGCACTTTTTGTCTTGGGTGAACACAATAAGAGTGAATTTTTCCAGATCTGGGAACGGTGACAGCCCATGTTCTCTGCAGCCATGCGGGCGGCGTTAAGGGTTGTGCGTGCTGGAGCAGACACGTGGATAAGATGGTTATGGACTTTGTTTCTTTTGAGTAACTCTGCCATAAGTGGTGGCTTCAGTGTAGTGCCAGCTTGCTGTTGGAGTGGTTGTTTGCACTTTATATTTATCGTGCAGATGGTCAGTCTGATTTCACATGCCTATTTCGCTTACAAATGGAATTTGTTAAATTATCTAGTTTCTAATGTTAAGGTGTTAAAACATTAGTTTGGTAGATTGCTGCTGCTCACAACAATAGACGTGATCATGGCACAAAAGGTTGTGATTTGCTTTTTAATATATGCGTCTCACAACATTGTAGTTCATTCCAGTAGGATGAAAGAATTGCATAGAATTTAGCTTGTAGTCCTAGTATTGACCATTGACCATGGACAATTGTGAAGACCATATTTCCACTGTACTGTATGTCTTTGGCTTTGGCCTAATGCAGTTCTCAAACCTGCCAGGCTCCTTTGGTGAAGGTGACAGGTTATATTATATATTATAATGAGTGATTGCCAAATGATGGGATTTATGGTATTTGTTCACCAAGGAACGTAAAAATGCCAGAAGAAAGACTTATTTAAACATTCTTCTTTTTCCCTCCACTGTATGCACGGACACTAAGTGGCTTTAAGACTACTGAGACCTAAACTATAAAGAAGAGTAAGTGTTTAGTAAACCGAGAACAGAGTACAGTGCAACGATTATTATCTGTTGCACTTCATAATATACTCAATCTTGGTTCCTATGCAGGGTGCCGAACTCATGAGGCTTCTTGTAATACAAGAGGAAAATAACTTCCTGATCTCAAGGAATGCAGAGCAGAATCTTGTTTTTATTTGAAACGCCAGCTGGTCTTTTGGCACAGAAGCGCTTTCTCTTTGTGTTCCCCTGCATTACAGCTTTATTCTTAGAAGAAGCAACATAGATTTTTGTAGTTTAAATGGTAAAATCCCTGTTGCTTTAGACCTTGAGCTCGAGTAGAATACACGTTTTAGATTTTGACGAGAGTTCACTGCACAGAAGAGAAGAATCATGCTGTCAAACAGCTCTCTTATCTACATTGCATTCAGAACAAGTTTAAATGTCTCACCCTGCTGGTATCAGTGTTAAGTCTGAACACAAACTGACCTTTTCAAAACCAAGGGCCTCTCGGTATGCAGGTAGCTGCAGGATACAAGTACAGTCTAACTTGAGAAACCAGCTCTAACTTGTAAACTGCTGCAAAGGTGGACATTTTTACTTGGTTTCTCAAAACCATTTTGTGGTGTTTTATTTTGTCTTGCTGACAGGTGTCCCAAGAGAGCATTTGTAAGGAGAGTCCTTTCCTTATTGTGTAGCGTAGGACTGTGAACATCTGTGTGCTGTGGACCATGGTGAACTCTCCACTCCTGGGTTAAAATGATGAACTATGAATTTATTTGTATACATATTAGAAATCACATGATTTACGGGAATCCAATACAAACGTCCATGCAGTGTTTTCATACAGCACATAGCAGTCACATAAAACATTGGGGTTGCTGTGTACTTTCAGTAAAGCTGAGTTAACGGTCTGTGTTTAAGCAGAACCCCTTAAAATACTGTGTCATTGTCAAAATGGGCAACGTTCATTGGAACATTGGGAGAAATGTTTTCAGACACTTCCAGTGTTTTCTTGGAGGTTAGGGCAAGACCCACGAAAGAGTTGTCCACTTGAAATAGCATCTATGCTGTTTAAGAGGGTAGGTTTTTTTTGGGACGGGGAGTGTGTTTAAAATCGAAACCTTTTAGAGGGATGCATCCTTTCTGGCTATGTCCTGTCCTGTTGAGGAAAGTCTTTCTCTGAATCCCGGTTACTGAATATGCCTTCCTAGCCTTCATGCCCAACTACTGGCTTTGTACAATATGATTGTTTTCCTGGGCTGGGGCTCTTTGACTTGGCACGTGCGGGTCGAGTCGAGGTCATCCCACGCTTCTGTGGTCCAGTAGTGCTGGCAGATGTCAAAGGTCCAAGTGAAGTGTCTTTGTTGGGAATTAGTTTTTTTGGGAGGTGGGGAGATACTTGACTGTATTGCAGAACTGTAGCCATCCCTAACTGTACTCTTAGAACTTAAACTCCCCTAACGTGTGAAATGCACATCTTTTATTGTAGATATTTTTGTTACACCCGCTACAAAAACAACATCCCGTCTTGGTAAACGGCTTTGTTTTGCACCTAGGAGTGTGTTCAAGATATCGGCTCAAGAGGAGCTAGATTTATAAACTTAAATTCCCTCCATTAGGTTTGAATTCATAACGGGTTAAGGTTCAAGGTCACTAGTGAACAATCTCATACACACAGAGCCTTTGGTGCCACTTCTGGTCCTTCAAGCTCGATTCATCAGCTGAACAAAACCATTCTGCTCGAGTATCAAAAACCAAAGAGCTGTGTAATTTCCTGCATTTTTGTTCAAAACAACTTGAAGCGTGCTTTTGAAAAAGCAGACTCGAAACTGTCACTTTCATTACTAATGAAGGGCATGATATTTAAGATATCTCAGAGGACTGTGCTTGGTTAGCACTGGGATCTTTCCTCAGCACTGTCTAGCTGTGTGAGCTGATACTTTGTCCATAGCAATGTGTGCAAAAGGTGCATAACCTGGACATGTTCCTGTAAAGAGCTGACTCTTATTTATGGACATGAAGGCCGGCGAGCGCCAAGCTCCTGGTCCAGCTATCTGCTGCGGCACAGTTTCGCTCTTTGTTATAAACCCTGTACAGAAATGTTGAGATTTGGTAAGCCATTTTGTTCTGTAATAAAACAAATCAGAGCCATTTTATTAATTTTTCTTATTACATTTTTATACTGCTACAATGTGTTTTCCTCCACCACCACCACCACCCCCATACATGGTCTCCAGTTCTTAAAGTTTTTTTTACATGGTCATTTTTAGTTTTTGCCAAAACAGTACTTGCAGTGCATAGAGGTTTTGTGCCCAGGTCCAAGAAACTCTTTCATCCTTTCGGTTTTCACCCACTCCGCAATGATCTCGGCCTCTGTCCTCCGGGCCTCTCTCACAGAAACAGGATCTGCGGCATCAGAACCTCTGAAAGGATGCATTTCAAAAAGAAAAATCTCATTTAGCTGCTAGTACTGTCTATACATGCGTCCACCCTGCACAAAGCAAAAGCACCTTACTGCCTGCCATGAGAATCCCCCGTTTAGAGGGGAATTAAGACTTGGAGGGATTCAGTCACCCTCCCACAGATGGCAGCTTCTCCCCATTGGCTCCTCAGCCAAGCCCGTGTCTGAACCTGGGGCTCCTCTCGTACTGAGCAGGATTACTATTGCAACAACACGTCATCAGTAGGGTAAAACGTAGAAGTCAGAAGTGTTCGTTGTGATAGTAACTATTTCATTGTGGCCCTACCTTAAATCGAAGTGGTGAGCCCCGTCAGTAATGTTAATGGCAATCAGGGTAGGACTGAGGGAGTTTCTGATCTAGGAGGAGAAAACAAACCAGACAGGTACCATCATGTGCTTCCCACGCCTGCAGTCTTCCACAGACAGGTTCAGTTCAGGACAAATCAGTCCTCGTATTAGCATTAGCAACACCTATGAGCAACTCGTAATAAAATCTTTCATCAATAAAACGCTAACAGCTTGCTAGTGAGATTAAAAAAAAAAGTCATGATGAAATTCGATGCAGAGAAAGTGAAAGTTTTTGAAAAATGACCGCAACAAAAAAAAAGTCCATCTTAATGTTTGATAAATAAAATGACCAAAACAGTTTACAATCAGTACTGGAAAATACTTTAAAAAATGTCATGTTACTTAGGAGATGTTAAAATAACGGGTCAATGAGTGTTGGACCACAGATAACTACACAGCTCAGATCTGTCTTCCACACTGTTCATGAGTTTACAAAAACTTTTTAAAGACTGTTCTAAAGATGTGAACATGAGTGAAAAGGAAAGACATGGCCAACGTGAATAACCGCAGTTGGTTTTACATGGTAGCGAACCTCGAACACATTCCTCCCATTTCCAAGCATTAGTAAGAGACGCTTGGTTCTTAATTTGTTTTTTTGATTTACATAGCAGTATACACAACCTTGCCTCCCCTGTAAATCTAGAACTACCTGTGTAGCATCCTTTCCCAAAGTGTCTCTCGACACTCAAATCCCTGGCCTGTATAAAAGTACAATAAAGTCCATTTTAAAGCACGCGCTGAAAACGTGGTTTAATGCAACGCCCTTGAATCGGTAAGGAGCTGAAGGAAACGTCTTCTGAGACACCACTGGGGGGGGGCTGCCAACAAGCTGTGATTTCACTGAAGTAACAATCAAACGGTACAACTTACTCCTCCATTGGCCCAGGGGTCCAGATCGCCGTTGGAGAATATGATGTTGCTGGCGGAGGCGAGAGCTGTGGGCGAGCAGAGGCGTGTTAGAGAGGCACCGGGCCGCTTCTGTCGGCGCAAAGGTCAGCGAGCAAAAAAAAAAAGCTCGGCGCTCCGCTCACCGTCGCCCCAGAACTGCGTCCTCAGCCAGCCGGGCCTGGGAACCACCCCCCACTTGTCCTTACAGTACCTCTCCCGGTCCTGCTCGGTGAACGGCATCTCGGGGAACATGTCCGTCACGTCGTTGCTTTCGTAGCAGAGCTCTATTTCCGTACACGCCTGACAAAAAAAAAAGGGGGGGTAAACCATCCATCAGATCGACTTCCACAATCCACAACATCCTAGGAATTCCATCGAGTGCCTTTAAAATGATCCGTTCGGCCCCGAGGCGTTTTTCGCCTTCTCTTACAACTGTTGGCAGAGTGGGGATATTATTGTGAAAGAAATGGTTTAGAAGACTTGCTCTGTGAAAATGTAAGCTGCCAAATCTGCACTGGCTGGATGCAGCGCAGAACGCTACATCCAGGTGGATGCTGCACATTGGTGGTGGTGGAGGGGATCCCCATTACCTGTAAAGTGCTTTGAGTGGAGTGTCCAGAAAAGCGCTATAGAAGTATAAGCAATTATTATTATTATTACATTTGCGAACACGCATCGTGTGGCCGTACTGCTGACACGTACCTGGTAATCCCACGCCAGGCTGTTGGAGCCGAGCCCGCAGCCCGTCGGATCGGCGCACTCGACGTACAGGGTGTAGAGATCGTAGCAGCGCAGCTCACCGGTGGAATTATAGACAATACCTGAAAAGGGAGAAGACATTAGGCCGACGATCATCTCCGCGAGCTCAACGCAGTAACATCTGCGGTAGATTTTAAACCTGCCGATTCACTTTAATCACGTCTGAGCCTCGTGCTTTTTCAGCGTAGCAGCACCCCCGTACAAACGCGTGCCATTGTGAGTTTTTGTTTCACCAAGATTGCCGTGCACGGCAACGTGTTCTCCTTTTTCCACGACCGTTCAAAGCCGGTGAACCCAGAACTCGCAAGGGCTAGGACCTCTGGCGCTTAACAATGGGACGACTGCGTGTAGGAATCCATTGACGCCAGCAGGCCAGTAAACAAGCACTGCAAGTCCGGACAAGTCAGAGCTGAAATTTAAAACCAGGCTATCAGTGGTAGGCGTGAGGGGGGTCCATTGAACCGTGCTGTGACATCTAGGACAGAGGAAACACTGTTTGTTTATGGTGATAGAGCACATTGATAAGGGCCCCCACGCAGCAGAGTAGAGTATTCACTGCATCTCCACTGGTGCCAAGACTACAGGAGCTCACACAGTGGGGAAAACAGGACGGCAGGAGAACGGGCTCACTGGCGTTGCGGAGAAAAGCCTAGGAGATCAGATCAGCACCTTTTCAGACCCTCTTTTTTTTTTTGAACCACTGCACTACCACCTCCCCCTGATAGAAGATCTAAGCTCGCAATCAAAGGGCCTTAAGATGGTGTCCCGGGAGCCGAAGGGCGCCGAAGGGAAGCTCCTGACGTCCGACGCTCACTCCCTGAGGATTCTGGAAGGAGCCCGCAGCCTGAGGGACCAGGGAGCCCTGTGCGACGTCACGCTAGAGGCAGAGGGCGTCCGTTTCCCGGTGCACAGAGTCATCCTGGCGTCGGCGAGCAGCTACTGCCGGGTCCTCTTCGCGGCCGCGGCCGAGGGGCCGAGCGTGGTGCCGCTGGGGGACGTGAGCGCCCGGGGGCTGGGGCGGGTGCTGGACTTCGTCTACGCCGGCCGGCTGGAGCTCGTCCTGGCGACCCTGGAGGAGACGCTGAAGGCCGCCGAGGCCCTGCTGGTCCGCGACGCCGTCAAGCTCTGCTTCGGGTTCCTGGATGAGGCGCTGGGCCCGGACAACTGCGCGGAGATCCTCGGCATCACCCGCAGGTGCGGGCCCGAGGAGCTCCGGCGGAAGGCGGCGCGGCACGTGGGGGCCCGGCACCGGGCCCTGCTGCGCGACCGCGAGGAGCTGGTGGCGCTCGACGAGGAGGTCCTGAGGGGGATCCTGGAGCGCAGCGACCTGGGCCGGTACAGCGAAGCGGAGCTGCTCCGGTGCGTGCTGCAGTGGCTGCAGCACAGCCCCGCCAGGGCGCGGCACTCCCGGGACCTGCTGCGGAGGATCCGCTTCCCCCTCGTTCCCGCCGGACACCTGCAGGAGCTCCTGCGGGAGAGCCCCCTGCTGAAGACGGACTCGCACTGCTTCGGTCTCCTGCAGGAGGCGCTGGCGTATCACGCCCAGCCCTACGCCCAGCCCGCCCTGCAGGGCCCCAGCACGCAGGTCCGCTGCGGCTCGGACGGCCTGGTGGTGGTGGGGGGCAGGACCGCCGACAACAAGGTGTGCAAGGAGGTCTGGGTGTCGGACGAGAGGTGCGCCACCTGGAGGAGACTGGGTGAGCTGTGCAGCCCCCTCTACAACCACTGTGCTGCGGTGCTGGGCGGCTTCCTCTTTGTCCTCGGAGGCCAGCACAAGTTCGATCCGGCAGGGAATCAGCCAACGAACGAGGTAGGTTCACAGGATCCTCTACAGCCCTCCTCTATGCTTGTATCAGGGCGTTAGCGTGCAGTCCACAGTCCAGCGCTCTTCGAAGCAATGATTCTGACCTCGTCTGGGCCAAAAGGCTGAGAACCGATGGTGAAGCTAATACCCATGTATGCAGTACATTGCACAACGCTCCATCCACCCTCCTTTTGTCTAGCCCTGCTGCTTGTAACACATTCCTGCTCAGGGGAGGTCTGCTCTCAGGTAACTAAAGAAAAGAGTAAGACAATGAAGGATTGCTTGTTTCAGCATTATTCCAGCTCAGGGAGGGTAAGGGGTTGTGAATAATATCAACAACAAGATGCTACAGTAACTGAAATTATGGGATGTGAATGACTGTTGTGTTAAGATTGGCTTTTTGCAAGTTCATTTACTCACACAACCACAAGGAGGGGGCATGTTTTGAATATACTGTATGAAAAATACCACAGTGAACTCTGGACAACATAAAGCCATCAAAGGGCAGTGAAAGTAATAGAGCAGTAGAAACGCATAGCTTGAAAGCACTAAATACTATGAATTAATGTTCCTCATACATGCAGCATGCAATCAATTTTCTCCAGTTATTTGTAATTGCTTCCTGAAGTATTATGAGGCCATTCAGAAGACATGAAACGAGTTAAGATATGGCTCTTAATTTCTCAATGGAGCAACGTTTAGGAAGAGCAGATTGCTCACAGAGCTCTGTTCACTCCTGCTGCGAGATCGCTTTCAGATCACAAGCTTCCCTCTCTGTCCTGAGAGGACGAACTGGGCTGTCCACTCGCCGTAGGACAGTTCTCCCCCGTGACCCTTCTCCCTCTCTCTGGGTGGGGGTAGGTGTTCAGGTATGACCCTCGCGACGGCACCTGGCTGCAGGTGGCCGGAATGCTGGAGAAGAGGACCCGCTTCCACGCCGCCGCGCTGGCGGGTCAGCTGATGGCCGTGGCGGGCGGCACCCTGCGGGGGCGGCTGACGGCCGGCGCGGAGCAGTACCGGCCGGCGGAGAACAGGTGGGAGCCGGCCGCACCGCTGCCCGTCGCCGTGGCCGACCACGCCGGGGCCACGCTCCAGGGGATCCTCTACATCGCAGGCAAGCCCCCGCCCCCCCGCGCACACGCTGCACCGGCTGGGCCCAGCACCGGCCTAGCACCGACCCGGCTCCAGATCAAGGCCTCGCCGTCGGCACGCGGCGGCTAAGCCGGAGCTGGGGGGGCGCTCGCGAGGTACTGGTGACCGTTGCACCGTTCGCACGAGTGGTGCACTGGTGATGCGATTTTTTTAAAAATAACCCAGCACGGGGGGGTGTGAAAGGAGGACGGGACTGCGGTCCAGCGCGAGGGGGGGGGGCGAATCCTGACAGCTGCTCCGCTCTGCTCCTCCGCAGGCGGGTTCTCCGCCGGGAAGACGCTCCGCGACCTCTACAGCTACCTCCCCCGCCTCCAGCACTGGGTCCCCAACCGGCCCATGGCCTTCCCCCGCTGCGACCACGCCATGGCGCCGGCCGGCGACAGGATATTCTGCGTCGGGGGCCGGGCCTTAAACCCGGTACGTGCCCGTCTCCTGCTGAGCTCGCGGGTGCCATGTTCCGCGCCCGCTGCAACAAGCCTCCGGGCTCCAGGGCTCCCTTTAGCTTCTCAAAGAACGCTTCTACCTCACAGCTATAAGACGCCGTCCCCTTCAGTCCTCCCCCACTGACACCCCTCTTTGACCTGGACCTAAAGTCCTGCCCTGGCTTGAATTCTGCCGGCCCGGTTAACATTATTGCTGCTACCCTGTTCCTGTGTCCAGGTGTTGTGACACCATGTGCTGTGTCGCTGCTTATGGCATCTGGCATGTGACGAAAACACGCAAGTAAGCATTTCATTGCACTCGGGGTGCGCGTGACAGTAAATGTAAATAAAATAAAAAATAACTGGTTCAGTCCCCACCCCACCCCACACGATCGACTGTCAGGGAAACTGCAGCAGCTGAAGCAGGAGGTCACATCAACCACCAGAGCTCCTGGCTAAACGAGGGTAAAAAAGAATCCCTCTTCCATGCCAGTGTATCGAGGTCGTGAAGGTGTGGAATCCTGCAGCTGAACACGGCGAACGCTGTCTCCCCTGTGCTGTTTGGACCCCCAGGCGCAGGAGTGGGTGCACGTGAACGAGATGGAGTGCTACAGCCCCGCGGCGGACCAGTGGACGGCGGTGAAGGTGTCCGCGCCGGAGCGCTGCCAGTTCAGCCTGAGCGCCCGCGGCTCGCGGCTCTGCGTGGCGGGCGGGGGGTCGCTGCGCAGCCTGAGCAAGACGGGGGACGTCTCCCTCTACGACTGCCAGGCCGGGAGGTGGGAGAGGGCCGGGGCGCTGCCCCTGCCGCTGGTGGACCACACGGCCAGCCTGCTCACGCTGCCTGGGGAGGTCCTGGCGGGCCTGGCGCCGGAGGAGAGGCCCAGAAGTCCACTCCCCGCCTCTTCGTGATGGAGTGAAGGCCGGGTGGACCGGGGCCGGACTAGGGAGAGCCCAGCTGTTGGCAGCCGTTTCCCCCCCCCCCCCGGCCGGAAACCGTTGCCAACGCCCCCCCCGCCCCCCGCAAGGAACCCCGCCCGACGCAACCCCCCGCCCTTAACACCGCCCAAAGCAAAAACCCCCCCAAGGGCCGTCCCCAAGGAACCAACCCCCCAACCCCCGGCCAAGCCCCGGGTTCCCCTCCCCCCCCCCCAACCCTCAACCCCCGCCCCAAAACGCAAGCCCCCGTTTCCAGGCCTCGGCGGCACGCCGGCCAACTTACCCACCGTGTCTCGGAGCGCCCTCAGCGGGTCGGTCCCGTTGAGCATGGTGTCGCAGGCGACCTGGGGGCGGAGGAGGAACGCACGCGGTTATTCCCGTTTGGGCGTGCGAGCCCTGCTTCTGCGCGACGCGTCGGCGGGGGCGAGGAGGCACAGCGGGTGGGCAGTGGCGTTCATCCCCAGACAGTCCAGATAAGGAATACCTAGATTCACCTGCCCGTAGCAGGGTCTGCCCTGTTCTATCACACTGAGCGTCTCAGCTGGGTCGGATGCGCTTCCTGAGGCAAAGCGGAGCCGTACCTTCACCGGGTTCGCAGGGAGGTCGCCCATGAAGTGAGTACTGTAGGGGTAGTCCAGCATGGCCATTAAAGTGAAGGCGTTCCTCAGGAACCCAAACATCTGGCGCATATCCTTCTCGGAGGAAGGGGTCTTGCAGAGAGAGAACTCTTCCTTGATCCTCCAGTAATCTGCAGTCAAAATCACAAGCCTTTGTAACGCAACGCCTCACAGAGTTTACTTTTCTGCCGTTTGACCAGACCGGAGACCACTGGGCACAAACTCCCTCTTACGAGGACAAACCGACCAAGTTGCTTACTTCACGGCGTTGTGGATATTGTCACGTTAGAATTGTTAAAAAAAATAATATATGTAATGAACGTGCTAAAAATTAAATAATCTGCTACAATCGGATCACACCTTGGGCCCGAGACAGATCGATAAGGCTCCGGAAAGCTTTTCTCACGGTGTCTTTACAGGCGGGACGGTATCGCTCAAAATCCTGGGCAGAAGAAAAGAGAACATTTTAGTCTTTTAGAAAGTTGATTTATGGGGGGAAAGAGATCGAGCCAAGGTGCGTCGATGTTTCGCTCGCTGTGTTGTCTTTGTTAGCTCCCAGAGTCAGATCTCAGAGCAGTGTGATTTCCAGTTAAATATTGTACTTGTGATTGGGAGGGACTCAATCCAGATGAAAGGTATGCAATAGTGTGGGCCTGCGTGGACGCCCTGAGCACCTGCAGAGTGCCTTACAGCCAGGGAGCGAGCGAGCGAGCGGTGTGCCGGTGTGTAGTCATATCGTAAGGCAAGACTGTAGCACCTGTAGCCTCCACCACCATGAACTGGCTTCCTTTTGTTCTAATGTGTATTTTGGAGGCTGACGAAGAAAAGAATCAAGCTTCCCCAGCAGCAGTTTTTCCATGTGGAGCCCTGTTTTAATTTGTACATTCATTCACCGATTGACAGATATCATGTTCTAGATATCAAAGATATCTGGTTTGCTTTTCCTCCATTTCATTTACATAGATGTATATAATCAGTTGAGTCTTTTTTCATACCTTCGATACTAACAACTACAGTGCGTCGTCGTAGCGTAAGGCAAGACTTCTTCGCTATATACAAAGAAGAGTCTTTCCACTAAAGGGAAAATAATTTAGGAGCCGTTTCGCCAGAACGCTGGTTCAGAGCTTGAACCCCATTCGCAATCTCGTGGGGATCTTCAGAAGCAGGCCTGATGAGCCTCAGGTGCTGTAGCTATCGATTAGGGAGTGCAGTGGGAGGTGTGCTCCACTGTCACAGGTGCTAGAGACAGTACCTGTGGTTATCGGCGTGAAGGATAGCTTCTGATCTCCACAAGTTCTGTGGTTTCTCGGACCCTTCTCTCCTGTAAGACTTAAGTGAGTCTGATACACCTCCAGGCGCTCCAGTTTCCTCCCACAGTCCAAAAATAAGCTGGCAGGTTATCTGACTTGGCCCTGCTGTGAGCACGTGTGTCTGTGTGTGCCTAGTGATGCCGCCTTGTGCCTGTTGCTTGCTGGGATAGGCGCTGGCTCCCCCACAGCCCTGTACTGGATGAAGTGGTTAGAAAATGGATGCATAGATGGGTAGTTAGTAGACTTAAGGTGGGCAGTCCTGGGTCCTGGAGGGCTTGCCTGCAGCTTTTCAGTCCACTTCAGCACTTAACAGGCTCAGTCAGCTCGTTATTGGCTTAATGAGACCCAATTAACAGTTTCCTCCAATTCTTCAGGTGGTGGTACTTTAAACAGCACCTAGGAAGCCCGCAGGCAGGCCCTCCAGGAGGAGGACCCAGCAGGATGAGGCTCGGCCCTGGCGATCTCCGCCTGAGCTCGGTGACTATCAGCACAGTCGATGCCGGTACTGCGAGGAGTTTCGAAGCCAGTCCCCCCCCCCCCGGCAGCGTCCGAGCGCAAGGCGGTACACGGATCTGCGAGTCCGCAGTAAGACTTGCCGAGGTCACGTCGCGGAAAAACTGCTTTGGGTCTCCCAGGCCAGCTGTAGAAAGAACTGGGGCGCTGGCAGCCAGAGCACCTGCCACTATGTTGGGGTACCTGAGCCTCATGTAGGCACTCAGCATCCCTCCGTAGCTGAAAGACAAAGTTAAAACCAGCTACAAAACCAGTTAGCCTCAGTACCACTAACCTGCCGCTATAAAGCCACTTTTAAACAGGCGCGGTGTGAACAGCCATAAAATTCATATATAATAATAAGACACGAAAGCAACAATAAATATTCAACGGATTGAGACGTTACTGTCCCATCATTTAAATGGCTAGAATTTCTCATGGCGTAACTGGAATAATTAACTCTAGGCACATTTGAAGCGTTTAAGTATTCAGTCTGGGCCAATGAAGAACGCGGCCCTGCGTTTATTCTTTGAATCGCAGCCGTCCGAGTCCGTCGGCCGTATCCAGGAGGGGGCGCTGGCCGACTGGCACTGACCTCCCCCCGAAGGCGATGACGGGGCAGGCCGTGGCGCCCAGCTGCCCCCGCAGCTCCGCGATCAGCAGCGCGTAGTCCGCCAGGGCCTGCTCCGCGGTCAGCAGCCCGACCCTGGGGGTCGTGAACGACTGCTCGCCGAACGGAAGCGATTTGCCGTAGTATCTCTGGGGACCAGAAAGAGGATACGGGTCAAAAATCACAGCGTCTCCGTTGGAGCGCGCAGGGCTGATATACTGTCACGGCACGTGTGCGAGACTCAGCATTTTCCACGAGGCCGCCGAGGCTCTTGTTTCGCGCGTGTCCCTTCAGGACTCTGGCGCGGCGCCTGCGGTCCACACACGCTGTAGGATTTACTACGGTTCACAAAAACACGCTCCGCCACCCCACTGCGCCATTCCCAGACCGATTCGGCAATTGCCGGTCAGCAGGATGAGGAAGAATTCCTGTGCTAGTTGTATTAAAGTCCTGCCGTGGAAACACATGAGGTAGTACTATATTTGGAGACAGAATTAATTCACAGAAAATGGTTTATCGATCAGACGGTTTACACGTAAAAAGACCTGGGCTGTTTAGCCTTTTTTCCCCCCCATCTCCTAGTTTCTAATTGCACTTTTTTAGAACTATTTACATTGTGCCTGCCAAGATGGGGGTTATACAGAAATGCAGTATTTCGTTTTGCTTCAGCAACCGAAATCAGATCTTGAGGGGGGACTTTTTTCGAGTTAATGAGTATTTAGTAAAGTTTTCTTACTGTAAACTGAGAAAAAATGTTATCCTTTCCATTATATGAATGTCGTTCACAATACCAATCCATTGTTCAGACATCGCAGGTTCTTCAATAAGCCCTTTTCTTGTGATTTGCTTTCTTTTACTACCTTGTAACAGGTAGATGTATGTCTGTAGGTTCAATGTGATCAAAAAG